GAAATTGAAAGCGTAATGACAGCATAGACAGGGTAAAGTTATAGTCTGTCTATTCCAATTAGTCAACAGTTCAAAAATCTTAAATAGAAATTCAAATTTAAACTATGAGAAGTTTAAACCTGCCTGTGAGTGAATTAGGTTCTCACTGAGGCCACCGCATCACAATATTTTCTTAGTTCAAGTAACAGAAGGTACTATATGTCCTGTACTAGAGAAAAAAATATATAGTAATCCAGTGAATTTCACAGACTGGTTTCTCGGCTAGGATGGGCTGGAATAGTCTATTAGGTTCAACGCAGATCTCGAGATTGACACCAGGTGACAACAGGGGCCAAGATGTTATTGGTGAGAGAAGTAGAGGGCAATAGTTTTAAACAGTGATACTGGATCATTCTAGGCAATTGGAGCATATTTGGCCCATCACAGTGTCTTATACCAGTGTTGGCAGTAATGCAAAAAATTTTGTTTATAAACAAAACATACTCTCTCTCAAAAAGATGGCACTTAATTTTCCCCTTCACTGAAGTGAACCATGCGACAGAGAAAAAACTTGTCAAGTATGGCCTTGATGACTTTGTAAGGATTTCAACTGCCATAGCAGGGTGGAATTTATTTCCACTTGTGAAGTCTGGGATCATCAGAGTGAAGCAGAAACGTGTGAGCTTCCTTTTTGCTTGCATTGCTGCCTCCTGTCGGGTTATGGAAGCTCCTTTCTAGCTGTCTGCCCAAAAGTGGCTTCTCTATGAAAACAGAAAGCCAGAACATGCTCTCACAGAGGCTTTGAGTGTCAGTTTTTAGTAGTTTCTCCAGTAGGTTTTAAGCAGGGATGAGAGTGAGAAAGGGGTGACAGAGAATGAAAATTTGAAGTTCCCCCACGTCTCCATCATACTCCTCTCCAAATTTGGGAAATTTATAGCAGCCTTAAAGTCATGCTTCCTCAGATTTTGGAAGCAATGGGCAGTGAAAAAAGGGGTGACCCAGTCCCCTTCTTACCTCCAAACTCAGCTGCCACTGTGTGTGTGCATAGGGAAACAGAAGTTTAAAGAAGTACACATAGCGCGGGGAGGTTTGTTAGTGTCGTTTGGGAGAAGGGATGTTAACTTGGGAAGAAAAGGGGAGCTGTATAACGTAAACAGCAAAAGCAGTATGCCTTGGGGAGGGCTTGCCAAGTGAGGAGGCCATCCTTCTCTCTGAATGCCTTTGCTTCTCTAACGGCAATGCTAGTTGTCGTAGAGGCAGTTTTGTTTTTTAGAGACAGAACCCTTCCTATTCCTTAGGCTCACTGAATGTGCTGTGTTCCTTGTCCAAAAGAGGCAGATCATTTTCATTCAAGCCGTTACTTTTGTATGACATATCCCTTTGGCTTCCATTTTCCAAGCGCAGCACTAAACATCAGTGACTTTTTAACGGGGAGGATTCTAGCTGCCAACTTCTGAGATTAGTATTCACATGGCTATGGGAGAAAGCACACCAGATTTGCCTTGCTTATCAGATGGGCCACCAACTTTTATTATTTCAAGGAGAATCGAATTGGAACTTGCTTCTTGAACTAATCAGGGCTGATTTGCTCTGAAGTTGCTTCCTGACTTAGATCTGAGGCAAGGAAGTGCTGTAATCAGTTCCCAAGGATTGTCGGAGTTGTGATGGGATATTAAGGGAATGGTACACTGTCTTTTAAGTGTGTCCCAGTCTCGGTGGCTTCTGACATTTAACACAGTTAACCTGAGTTTATTGCGTGGAATCTCAGGTTAATTTTTTTTAATGGCTTAGTTATTAGAGATAACTTTATTTGATTTTGCAGAACTGAATTTTGAAGGAATATACTAAGGTTTCGTCCAGGGTTTGTACAGCTCCATTCACGGTACACACTGGCAGAATTGTTCAAAAGCAAACATTTGTTACCCATCACAAAAAAATTAAATAATCTTCATGAAAGAGAAAGCGAGTCCCCCCGAGTGTCACTGTTTGCATATTAGCGCATCGGAAGGGCTCTGCCAAGTTCCTCCCCGACTGACTGCTGCAGATGCTCGTTCTCAAGTATTGCGAGGCAGCTCTTTAGCGCAGGTCTTCGGGGACAAACAATGGCACCTGTTCCACACAGGAGAGCCGGCCAGTTAGTCCAGTCATGTATCTTTAATGAAGCTCTGGGGCAGATGGCAAAAAATGGCATCATCAACAACCTAGCACTGAGGAGACAAAAGGGGAAAGTGCCGATCCAACAATACGCTATTTTTACGAATGGGAAGAGACAGAGTCTAAGTGTTTCTCGTGCATCTGCTGCAGTCTTGGTTTTCCGAAAGACCTGGGGAACATCTCAGCAATTAAAATTTCTGGGCATGTAGCCGATTTTATGAAGTACATCAATCAACCCGTCCTCCCAGTTTCTTCCCCCTTGGTAAAATCAAAACCGTGAAAAAAGAAAATTTCAAGAATGAAGAATCTGTACTGGATTTCTGACATTTGTCTTACATCTTTTACAGTGATCAGCGACGCTTGTACGTTCACTTCCTTTTTAATGCTGATTTGTGCTTTTCAGGTGACCTGTGCGGAAAATAATGACACCTATGTACAAAATAAGTGGGTGAAATCAACATTTACTTAAGAGTAATATTTGGTATGTGCCAGAAGGAAGGCCAGTGAGAGGGAAGGACTGCCATTCAGTAAAGGTTTTTTTCGGTCTGTGCACCTCTCTAAGTGTGAACTTAAACTTGTACTCTAATTGTAAACCACCTTTAGTCAGAGGAGCTATATATAGGCTGAGGACCTGATCCAACATGCAAAGGAGAATTTCAAGAAAGCATAGCAAATAGCCGGCACAGGCAGTGGGAACACTCCACACTTAGGGAACTGCTATCATTTGAGAGTCTTAAACATCTTTTTGGACATGGTGGACTTGATCCAACTCTACAGGAGTTCATTGGGAAGAGGCCTGTGAAATGAATGGTGTAGGATTTAGCCCTTTCTATATAATATAGTTTCGTATGATTTTATGATACTACAGTGCAAAGTGCTGCTCTGGCTCTGTATGCGCCATTACTCTAAGCGCAGTACTCACTCTGATCTATTCTGCTTTGTGAGTTTATGTTGATGTCTTGCAAATTTGCAGCATCCGTGGAAATACTTTCTGTGTGTGGCGACTCAAAGGGATATTTCTTAAACTTTGGGTACATTCGATTAGACTATAGTTGGGAACTACTGCAAATGTTTGCAAATATATTATGTTGAATTCCTTCAAAATACTGCAGTTGTTTCTATCAGACAAAGACTGTGTTTCCGTTTATTGTATTGCTCTAGACCCAGTGTAAAGTAACATCACACAGCAAAACTAGCACCATTTTATCAGAGGTAAATGCGTGTGCTGGGCACTTGGGGATCAACTCCAATCTAACCAAGTTTAACTCATATCCTAATAGGCACAGCCAGGCTTGCCTCAGCTCAAATGAAAGAAAGAGCTGCTCAAAGCTAGTTTCTTTCACGCCCCAGTGCCATAGCAGTAATTGCACAAAGACCTTTTTATTGTAAGTTGATTTTCCTGAGAAATGGATTCAAAAAAATACTGTAAAGTGTTTATTTTTTGCTTGACCTTTATTAACCTACATCTTAGGGCTTTCCCAAGAGAAGAGTTGTTGGTAAATTAACCCTCATAGACACACACAGTAGCATTTCTGCTCTGCATCAATAGTTGTGAAGGGAATGGGGATGTGACAAGAAAATTTGGCGCTATTAAACAATGTCATAGGTCAACATATGGGATTTGGTCAGAAAAAGTTTTTAGGAATTAAAATGGAAAAAAAAAGTCGCTTGAAGTTTAGTTTAACTTTTTAATAGTATTTAATGCCACCGATTTATGGTAGGATGAGGGCAATTTTTTCTTCTGTCTAAAAAACCAATTTCTTCTAACATTTACTAGCTTTGACATATAAACCATTATATGTTTACTTAACTACTAATCAGAAAAATCATAGTCAAAACCTTGGATACTTCTGGGGTTAAGGAATGGTGGATAAAAACTCTTTGTGATCCTAGCCGCTGTCTCTGAAACACATGTAGCATAACTAAAGGAACCAGGAAATTAAAATGTGGATTTAACAGACACGATTCTGTCACAGCTCTCATTTTCTGTATGTGGAATACAAATGCTGATAGAAGGTGAAGAATTTTCTGCTCTTGCATGTTTGTGCTCTTTGATACATTTATTAAGGTCAAATTAAATTTGATATAGTAGGTTTTATTTTGAAATGCTCTCTGAATACAACTCCGTAATTACCAAGCTACATGATAGTGCATAAAGCTATAAAACTGCTTAGACAGACAAGCAATTTATATGTTATACTGAGGTGTGTATGGCAAAGGAGGTTAGTTTAATTGGGAGCCAAGATGTTGTAGCCTTAAATCTTAAGAGCTGGGGTGTTGTCTAGGAGGCTGTTTAATAGTGTGGCGAGATTTTGAAATAACATACCTGAGTTGTTGGCATATATTTGAACAATACAATGTTGTAAGGTCTCAGAATTAAAATTACCCTAAGGATACAACAACTTTAACATCAAAGTAGCTGCCACAATGTTAGGATACTTCTAAAATGCTTATCACTCTACTGTCTATGACCAAAGATCAGAAAACTTGTGAGAAATTAATAGAAATGTGTACCACTCTTCTTTTAAAAGAACCTATAGTATATTATAAAGGTTTTTTATCTTTCCACCTGGTACCAGGACAGGGAATATTAATTGGGGGAGAAAAAAAAAAAAAAAAGAGAGCGAGAACCAGCAAGAAGAGCAAGAAGTAGGAAAATGTGCAGTTCACCGAGACTGTTACACCTTTGACACTGAGGGAAAACAATGTTAGCGAGGGCTTTGATGTGATAATGTGCAATTGGCAGGGATTACATTAAGGAGAAGGTTCTGTGGGACTGTGTGAACACAAGAACACTATCAGTCCTGGAGAAATACCTGTCAAGACAAATTTGTGCTATTTCTGATCAGAGGCTCTCTTCTGTTTAGCAGGTTCAGGGTCACATGCCTCCGCTCATGATCCCAATTTTTCCACACGACCAGCGGACATTGGCAGCGGCTGCTGCAGCCCAGCAGGGATTCCTCTTCCCCCCAGGAATAACTTACAAGCCAGGTAAGCTGACAGGGATATGAAGCTATTTAACATTTTAAGATATTAGCTGCAGCTTCTCGTGTGATCTGTCTGACAGAGGATGTTACACAACAGGAATAGCAGGTTGGAAATTAAATGTAAAGTTTTGCAACTCCACTTGAAAAAAACTTCTGATTTGAAGGAGATAGATGGAATATTGGTTACTGAAGATCATGATTTTTTTACCTTTACTTCCCACAAAATCGTCTGCTCTGAACATATTGACCTACTAATCTACTAATTTGCATTTGCTCTGCCCAGTGTCATTATACAAAAGCTATCTTGTATTAATTCTCTTATCTTCAGTATACTTGTCTTTTGTGCCAAAGTTCTTACCCTTAATTAGTGATAAATGTCAGAGCAAGTATAATTTAATTAGCATGCTTCAAACGGGCAACTTTTTGTTTGATTTCAATCTGGATAATAAAAGATTTCGGTAGTTCAATCCCAGTCGTCATTGAGACTTGTAACAGGTCACATAACCTTGCAGTGAAATATGTTTTGAGATGATTTAGCAAATGTTATGATTTCTTTCTTTTTTCCTCTGAGTTTACAGGACTCCTGGGGAATTCAATTAGGGATATAATGGTTTGAAGCTACTTTCAGAGCCTCCTTGTAAACAGGGCTTTAAATGTTTAAAGACATGTTGCCAAAGGAATTCAATGTAGGAAGATAGTTAAGTAAATAAAAGTCAACCTTATTTTCATTTGTACATTCTTTGTAAGTGACCTCAGCCCAGAAGCAGAAACCTTATTTTGCTCATTAATAGTATTCCCTGTCAAGCTTCCTTTAGCATATTAACCTGATAACCAGTAACGACAAAACATAAATACCCGTTTCTTTTTTTGACATTAAAAATGAAATTTACAAAGTAAAGCATTGATCCTGCTCCCACTGATGTTAGGGGTGTTTTTGCAGTTGGCTGCCGCAGGAGCAGGGTCAAAGCCAAAGGAAAGCCTCATAATAGATGATGTAAACAGCATACTAATTAAAAGCCAGGTTGAACCTAAAATCTCTTCTAGCAAGTTTACTTAATATTAGATGAAGTGAAGCCAAGCAGGATTTCAGCAAGCGTTTCCGTTTGTCCCACTCCATTCTGTCTCTTTAGTCTAGAGCCATTCCTCTTTAAACATAGCATCTTTGTCCGATAATTACCTTATTTTCAGTTTCAGAAACCCCAAACTTCTTTTCCAGTTTGACAAACTAATGCACTATATGGAAGAAACAGTTAACAGAGCTCTGAAAGGCAGCTAGCTCTAGAAGGCAAAGAACGATGGTTATTCCCACATAAGAGCATCCCACAACAACTGGGGGACCAAAGTAAAGAATATTTTGCCTCCAAAGAAGAGGCAAAATAAGAATTGCCAGTTGTGGAATTTGTCCAGGGCGCCCTGGCTAATGCCTTCCTCCGTATAGCACCTATCCTAACACTTTATCAAGCTTACACAGCGTTACCTGTGATCCTGTCAATCTCACAGCAGAAGGAGATACTGCTTCAGGTGATTTTATTACCTGCTGGAATGCAGAAAGGGAGATATATAACAAATGTTAGAAGACCAAAATGCAGACAGAGATCAAGGTCTAGTTGTCTCAGAACGCCGCTAATGGGAATGCAGCTAAGCTGTTTGCTGGTACATTAGTGGTTTATATCCAGGTGATGTTAGTAAAGACCAGAAGTCACTATGATCTGATTATAGTCAGCTCAGCTTGCATGCAATGAGACTATTTATATTTTAATATATTTATTAAGTTCTACAGCATGTGTTGCAAAGGTAGCTGGGTGGTTTAGCATGATTAAAAAAAACCATAACTACACTTGGTATTGATTAATTCCTATTTTTGGCACTCGGCACAGTAGTTAAGGAATTAATGAAACTGGAGATTAAGCTACACTCTT